GATTACAAATATCGTTGAAATCGTGATATGTAAAATAATTATTGTATATAATTAATAAATTATATAACTAACTAAATAAGATAATTATTGAATTGAGAAGATAGTTATAGATTATAAAGTTTTTTGTTTTTTAAAATTTATCCATCATTGAAATAATGAAATGAACAAAAAGGAAAATGGAAAAATGAAAATATAGAAATAATGAAAGAATATATCTTGAATATTATTTTACTCTTTTCATTTATTAAAATATACCTCCCATTTATCTCTCGTAATATTATTCCAATTGTGCAAGATATGCATTAACATTTTCGAAAAAGGTTCCATGAATATTTGTAAAAATATCGCTAGAGGTTGAAAATGAGGAGTCACGTTCCCGGCATTATTACTTTTCACGATGTTCCTACCGGTTTGTCGGCAATCTCTTCTGTCATTTTCTTCATTTTGTTACTTTTATGTAGCTAGACACGTGGCACGAACACACGATAACTCTGCTTTTTATCGGTCTACGTTCAAATCTAGTACACGTGGGTGGCACGTACTCAACTTTTGTGAATGCTACGTAGGAGTTTCGATCTCTTCTGGCAGTGTTTTCACTAGAAAACCGATCATTAATTCATCGATCATATCATAAGTTTTTTCTCGATTTTTCGAAAATAATTTAACTGTATCCAAAATTGTAACACATCGCTTGTTCCATTTTTGTAGAATAAATTTTTAAATGGCTTATTATAAAATTAAAATTATCATCATATAATTGGAAATTGATATGAAAATTTGTTTGCATTGTTATATTTTTTTTTTTTAAATGAATTGCAAACATCAAGAGAAACAAACGTTAATACAGAAAAAAATGTATTGTCTTTTTATATGATTAATAGGGAAAATAAAGTTTCCTATGTTCGTGAAAGACAAGAATAAGTTTCTTTTGTTAATGGACAAGCAAAGCTATGGAATAAAGTCAAAGAATATTAAGACGTAATATTCTTTCTTAAACGATGTTAAAAGACACCACAGGTATCTCTTCTTCGTCTTCCCGTTGAATATTACAAATTTAAAATGCAAATTTAAATAATTTTTAAATAAAAGTATCTTTAGAAACGTATATAAATTTGAATTTTTTAAATTAAAATTCTGTTCATTTAAATATTTAGTTTGGAAATGAAATTTAAACTAAAAAATGTAAATTCTACTTTCTGGTGAAATCAAATCTGAAAAAATCAAACTCGAAAATATTGACTTTTACAATTAAAGAACGAAATTTAGCCCAAAGTTAAAGGAAAAAAATTTTAATTAAATCTCCACGAAATGATGTTTCCTCTCTTTCGGATTCATCCCCTTATCTCTTGGAATCTGGAATTTTAAATACAAAACGAGTGAATACAAACGAATGCGAGTGAAGTTCAGTTCGTGGTGTTAAACGGAGCGCAAGTGGAAGCGAAGTGACTTGGCCAAGCCATGAATGGAGAACTTACCGTTCTCCAAAACTTCAAATTAGAATAATACCCAACTGCGACTCCAATTGTTGGGAGGGGGGAGGATTCCAAGTTGTGAGAACTTTCGAAGCGAAGAAAATTAACGTTCCACTAAATTGTTATCGCTTCGATAAAACTATGACCCGTTTCCACCATTCAATACTTTCTAATTGAACTAATAACAAAGGAATATTTTAGAAAACATTTTTCTTACAAATTTTAACACAGACTGATAGAAAATTAACATTCCAAGTAAAATACTTGTCTAAATAAAATTTGCATTAGATAATTTAAGTATTATTATCCAATTATCCCTTATGTCAATATTCAAATATCCTTTTATCTAGGATTAAATGTAAAATTTTGTATCTTTCCATTATCAAATCCAATTGAATCACTATTATTTGGTATATCGATTACTAATCTCGAAGATTAGTAGTAGAAAATTATTATTTAAATAAAAAATGGAACGATATTTATACTTGAGTTTCGTATAATTTAGGATAGAAAAAATCTTTCAAAAAAAAAAAAAGAAAAGATTAATTGAATTTTCTTTCAATCAATCACTACTAGCAGACAAAATGAAAAAGTGTCGCTATTACTTCGGTCGATTTGCCTGAGAGAGTCACTCGTGAAATATTAACAGGGCTTGTTTTGGGATGAAACAGACCGGAAGCAAATGTACGCCCCCGTGAAAACTAAAGAGGATGTCGCGAGAGATTTTCTATTCAACTGGTAATTAGAGCAACGACTGGATGAATGTTCGTCCAGGTACAAAGTCGATGGAACCGAGCAGGGTCATTCGAAGTAACGTCTTTATTCTTGTCTCGGCAAACAACCCCAACTGCGAGACACACCGAGGGGATCAAGAGGTCACGATGGAAGGCTGGAAAGCAAGAGACGAGCCACTTCAAACGAACCTGGATCAATCCATCACCTTTGATCTATATTTCGCTCTTCGATCAACTGTTTTTTTTTCTTCTTTTCCTTTTTAAACTATTTTTACCTCTTTTACCACGATATCGATAACACAGCAAAATGGAAATTGCTGCTCATTCAATTTTGATTTATACGTTAGATTATATCCTTTTTCTTTGTAATAAAAAGTAATAAATAATTATACGTATTTGTAATTGTCAAGTAACCAGGAAATTCTGTAGTCTCTTTTATGATATACATATATAAAAAACTTGATCTACAGACAACTGTAAATAATTATCGAAATTTAAATTATTGTGAATTATATGTTTCTATATCCAGAATTATATATTTCTTGGTAATACCTATTATCCAAATGTATGTATAATACATATCGATGATTAAAATCAAATAACTATCGTGAAAATAAAATTTATATAATTACATTTTTATGTAATAAACAGAAATGAATGTTATTAATCTTCTAAGATCTTCTTTTCCAACTACAAAAAGGACGACAAAACTATCTTGGTTACCTAATAATAATGACCGTCTTTTGAAAAGCGACACTCGATTCTTTTACCTAGTTTTTATAAGGTCACTCTCGCATTGTTCTCTTAATTTTCAGTCAAGTATCTCTACTTGTTTGCTCCCGAGATTTATAATAGTAATTTACACTGAGTTCGTTCATTATACCGCATTATGTTACCAAGATTATATTACGTTACGTTGGAAATTGTTGGCTAGCTTCTCAAACGAGTCCTTATTAAAAATATATAAATTCCCCCGTTTATTGTATTCACAACCGAGGAAGCCAACTCTGTAAAGCTTCTCCAATATTTGCAGATACAATATTTTTCGTCCAAGGCAAACACAACTTCCTAAAATAGGGAAATCTCCGTGTTGAGCCTACTAGGCATGAAACGGACAGGTTTCATACCTTATCTGCCGCACACCAGCTGTACACGCGAGACAAGGTGACAGAAAATGAAATGAAAGCGCGCCCAGCAGAATTTTGAAATGTCCACCTAGTTCGAGTGAAATATTACAATTTTGCGTTTTTGTTTTTCCACTGATGGACGACTAAATAATACTTTTGAAAAAGCCATATTTTTAGAATGTAATCACGAAAGATGATAAATCATTCCAAAGAGAAAGGAACAATAATCCGAGATACACAATTTCTAAAAGATCGATTCTAAATTCGAAACACTTTACGAACATCTTATTAACACTATGTCTTCGAAAATATATTCGATAGAAGATAAAAACGAACAACAATGAAAGACAATACAGCAAACATTTTTAAAAAAAAAAAAAAGAAATAATCCTAAGCATATCGACCTAAGCTCGAAAACTTGCCAACGGTAAATTACATCGAAAGGATCACGAGAATGAAGATTCGAGACTTATCGTTCGACGCGACCCGAGGACATTCGTCGATAAAATTCAGTGAGGGGAATAGCTCCCCCAGGATATCGAATGGATTATAAAAACCGATTCAAAAATAACCACTCACCTTTCCACATCACGATCCAAAAGCGCAGGCGTGCTCGACGCTTTGATACGCCTCTGCGCCTTGCTCAGCCCAGGAATCCGTCTCCTATCCTTTCCAGAATACGCGTTCGATCGTTGATCGTGGAGCGGCTGAAACATAATCGAAATCATTTTACACGTCATGTCGACGCATAATTGCACGTTGCACCCCCTTCCCCTTTTCTCTTTCTCTGTTGGCACCAAAGATACCAATAGATGCCAAATATAACCCTTGTGATAACCTCCCGCGCGGGAAAGTTGGTCGGACGTCGATCTATTCCCATGATTCGACACGCACGAGCGCCCCCGATCGCTCCTATCTGTATATGGCTTATCGAGAGATCACGACTCGGAGGATATTAGACGTTCAACGTGTATTTCGTTTAGTGAATTATTTCGTAAGCTCGATGTTACGCCGATACACTGGGTCACTATGCCTCCCATTCACGGGATTGTTAAGTTCTTCTTCAGAATGAATAATAGGATGCGATTCATAATGGATCGTATTGTGCGGGCGAGATAATGACGTTAAATACGTATACGGATTCGATCGGCGATCCCCGCTTTGGAATCGTGGTGTAGAAAGTGGTTTTCTTGTATTGGAGATTCTAGATTCGACGTGATCGTGAATTGTATAGATCTCTTAATTATGATAACTGTTATCGTTTTAAAAAGTTCGAAGTATTTTTTTAAATTAACGGCGTATTCATCCGTGGAAAAGAAATATTAAGATGATATAATCGATAAGATTGCAAGCGTTGAAATATAATAGGAAAATTGGAATTTTTAGTTTCGAAATAACTTTAAATCGATGAAAATAATAAATATATATATATATGTATCGAGGTATCGAAATATAAAGGAATGAGAATTTCGTGAAATATTATTGGCGAATTTTATTTCGCGATGGAAATTCGGAAATGAAAGGGGTAAAAATGGCACGGTGCCACCAAGCTTGATTATATCTGCGATCGTCTCCTCCCCCGGATATGATGTTTTGTTAATTAACAATCATTTGTATTCGAGACGACATTTTATTCCTTGTTACCCATGTTTCGAATAAAATATTCAACGTTACGAACGTGTTATCTAATTATTGCCTCGCGACATGGTAAAAGGAAAATCTAGCTTAGCGTATCGATACTTCAAAACGTTCGAACATACGATAACGTATGGGAAGAAAGTTTCTAAAACGTTTAACGATCCGGTACATACATTTCAGATTAAGATCCATATTGTAGAATTAAACGTGATTTTTATCGCGATTTCTTTTTTCTATAAATAACACGTAAACTCTGGAATAAATATATAAATTTTGTACGAAATACGTTATACAACGTTTAATATTAAATAAAATAATAAATGTTTAATTAACTTTATCTTTAAAATTATTTAAGATAACGTAACAGAACAAGCAACAAAACAAAGTTAAATGCTTCATTCGAGTAATTTTTTTCGAATGGAAGTTCACCTTTAATATTATCCAATTCTGCAGGATAGCATTGTATGCTGAATCTATGCAGTACATGTACCACAGTGAAACCCATGCAGCATTGCTCTTTCTGACGTCTGTTTGCTTCTGTATGTACATACCCACACATAGTACATATAGAAAAGCTGCCAGTCGTGACTGTACGAGTTCGATTCGGAAGCGATTCACTACAACCAAGGATATACTTTCTACCCTGTTCTCATTCCACATTTTTCTATTAAAAAAATACATACTTGATAGAAATATATCGACGGGAGAACTTCCATTCTCTTGTGTTATCATTGAAAATAATATTACCTTCGTCCATAAAACGACAAAACGTTTCTCGCGGGTAAATTTAAACCATTATCCTTTTATTCGGAACGAACATTTCGAATATTTTTCGTTTTCTCCGCCTAGGATTTCGACAAAAATTGGTTTACACCATTCGGGAAGGTTCTCACGTTAAACATAATGAAAAAATGAAATAGGGCCGCCCCCCAATCGTTCCCGCTTCGTGGAATTACTTAGCAGTTGAATATTTCGGGGAGGTAACGGAATCGATCGGTGTGTATCCACCTTCCGATTTTCTAAACGAATTCGGACCACATTTCAGTCCACTCTCGCGTTTCTATACCGAAGGGAGGTCGAGAAGTCACTTGACTCGTCGAGAGAACGAGTTATTGTTGGCTGCGAAAGAATTCACCCTTACCGAAATATCTCGATGCCATTGTCTCCCACTCTTAATTACAAACAGTCCACTCGATTCTGCTTCCCTTTATTGCCTCGTGATTCGTTCTTTTTTCCTCGCTCACACCTTTTCTTTTTCGAAGAAGAAATTTCGACGTCAAACGAATTTCCTTCTTATCTCCTGATTCGTACGAATATCTCATTTATGGAATATGATATATTCCATAAATTATGTAGGTTGATGAGCTTTTTGTTAATAATTTCTGATATTTTTAGAGCAGGCGAGTACAAAACGGTGGTATACAAGAGAGAGAGAGTCCCAGTTCTGAAAATTGCACAGAGGAGAAAAGTCGGTTAATTGGATTGCTAGATGAACCAAGATCGAGCTATTCAGGTCATCGGTGAAGTAGTCCGTCCTAGGTGTAATATTCGAAAAAAAGTTGTCGCTTATAATAAAAAAACAAGCTAAATGTAATAATAAGTAATTAATAATGATAAACAACTATCTTGCCTAAATTTGAAAAATAATACGCAGGATAATTGAGTGAAATTATACGTGATAACGGAGAAGAAACGGACACGTGCGACTAAAACTCGAAACGATTCTGATTGAAGTCGTGGCTATCGATCATATCAAAACGATTGGAAAATCGAAAATTTCCCGATTAAGATTACACGCAACGCCAAGGATAAACCTTTCAAAATATGTTACTAAATAGCCAGGTTAGAAAAAATATCGGAGAAACAGATAGGTGGGAACCGCGAAAAATGTTTTACAGCGTTGAATATGCATAGACCGTGCAACCATTCGTGCTAACCTTTAATTAAAACTTTTAATTAAGGTCGACGCGAGAAGTTCGATGCTATCGAACCGCTTTGTGTCTGTACTCTTTCTTCGAACGTGGCTCTCGCGTGTCGAAAACGAACGAAATAAGAAAAGAAGGAAAGAAAAGTTCGATCGATTCGTTCACGATTTGATTCGAATTGAAAGCGATTCGATCGAGCGCGGCAAAGAACGGAATGGCCTCCTCCTCATGAAAATATTAGCTTTTGTCTCGATACCACGTTCACGAGCGGCCATTCAAATTCAAATTTATATACATCCAACCTGGCCAATTCGGGCACAAAACGATTCCGCCACCCGGAAAATATGCATTGACAGTGTTTGCTTCTGTTGCGGTACGCCACGATTCAAAATCACGGACAGAATCACTGACCAAAATTTGAATTTACATTCGTCGTTTATTGTCGTTTTGTTAACCCTTTACTTTGAAGAACGATGAGTTTTTGGTGGAAAAGTTTATCGATGGTGATTCAAAAATTTAAATATTCCGAGTTTATTAAGATATTTAAAAATTTTTTCACATTGTGAAGAAATCGCGAATTTAAAATTATTTTTAGCGAAACGAACGTCAATTAAAACCATTAATGTATTATATACTTTATTACGTAAAGTTTTCACATTTTGCAAAAATAGATGATTGACAATTATTCCTTCGTCACTCATTATTTATCGATGGTATGTAGCGCAAATTTAAAGCGCTATTTTCATCCTAATAAATATCAATTAAAATTAATAAATTGTCACTCTACGATACAATATCAAATATCGACAAATATCTCATAGATTGCGATTAAATAAGTTCCAAATTATCCATTAATTTCGTATTCTACTTCCAATCGAAACAATGCCCCTAATTCATTTCACTTTCGATGTTTAAAACGGTCAAATGTCGATTCTGTCTTTCTCTCTCGTCTCCTTTCCGAATCGATCCAATAATTGAAGCGGTTCCAATCGTCGGTCGAAAATCATTCAGGAGGTTCTATCCGGACTCGACAGAATTTTTGACTCGGTTAATTAACATTGATCCGAGAGAGCATTTGCTTGTTCCTGGTGTTAGATTCCTAACATGCCCAGTAAATCGATAATTGGAAGTTGCCGAGGTCACCGCCAATTATTCATTCGTGTACGATTTTGGTGTCATGGAACGATCCGGACGAATTCTGATCCCTGCTCGATTAGGCATTCGGTAGAGTTATTCTGCCGGAAGAAATTCGGATTTAACAAGTGTACAAGCCAATCAATGCGTGCTTGTTTGTCCACGGAATCGAATTCGATTATCTTTTCGTTCCTTTTTTTCTTTTTTTGTTTCCTCTCTTGTTATTTAAAATTTAATAGAAAATAAAAATATAAAAATAAAACGTTCTTTTGTATCATTCTTAATATCTATTGAATTTAAAATTGAATTAAAATTAAAAATGCGCAAAGGAATATTAATGGACGATTGACTTACGGACTATAAAAATTGTCGGAGATATTTGACGTCGATAGTTTTGCAAGTTCGTTAATTAAACATCAATCGAGAAGAAATCGCGAGATAGCGGCGGAAAGGGTAAAGCCGAGAAATTATTTTCAAGGATAGAACGTCAGACGTTCGATCAGCTAGACACGCGATTCGTAATTTCCTCCGTCGAAGTGAATGATAGAACGGTCGGATGAATAATGGCTGGCGAGTTCGACGTCTCAAATATATATATATATAAATATATACGCGGCGTGAATATACGTTGTTTACATACGAATGAAAGAGCTCGAATATTCCCGTATATTTCTCGACACAATAATATTATATTTACTTTTATTAATTCGTTCGTATATATTTTATTACTTTATACTATTACGAACGAATTATTAAATTTCGTAATGGAAATTATTGAAGAAGAAGAAATTATTCTTTCTTTTTCCTTTATTATTTTTTTCAAGTGACGAGGAACATCGAAGAAAATTAACGAAATTAAAAAATTAATACAAAACGAAAATTTTAAAGAGAGAGATTGCAATTCACGTTGCACATAGATCGCAGAGGGATAAATCTTGTTAAAATCTTGCAGCGTTTCCATGACCAACTTTTCCTATTCTATTCCGTGCCTAGGAAAAAGCTACGACTCGTCCCAGTTCCTAGAATCATTTCGTATAACAGGATTGGAGCTTTTAGTATATTAGATAACTTAGTCGATGATAAAATCACTTGAATCACGTATTTCTTCAATTATTTTCACTTTTTTATTGTACGTACATATATATATATATATTTGTTGTGCAATAGCATACCGGCTCTATTAATTAAGAAAAGAGAAAGGAAAAATTCGATATCAAAAGAATCGCAAGACAGCCGACAGAATTTCATTACTCCTTCAATTACAAACCAACGTTAGAATTAGAGCGTGTTAATACATATCGATTGCATTATTGCGTTTGGATATACGTGTGCAGCGTATCTACGTTGCTTCCTACGATATGCATCATTCGCACCGACACAACGAACAGGCATACCTGTTCGTTAACGTTACTGGTAACAATGTCGTGTCGAATCGACTGTATCTATAACGCTTATGCACAGATCATTGTCAACAAGGGACAAGCATTTAACTGACAATTAAATGGACATCGACATTGTAAATTGAATTCGCGGATTCTGCCTGATTATCTCAACGATTATCTTAATTTCGCAGAATCACCTTCTATCTTGCAATTCTACCATCGAAATGTCGATTACTCGAAATTAACAGGAATATGATCCCTTCTCTCAAAGATGATGATGAATTTAAACTTCGTTCAAATCTCTATTCTCTTTCTATCTTATCATTCCTCTAAAATCAATCCTCTTTAAAACCTTTCAAACAGGAATATTTTAACACCATATAAAACGCATAACCGAATTTTAAAGACAATGGAGACTTGATTTATCCCAGCCTCCGGATAAAAACCATCCATTCCAACATCGATTTCCCCTCCCCCGCGATTAAAAGATATCCGATGAAAAGCTTTTCGACACGCTTCGATCGTCGCCCGAGGCGCTCGATAATAAAGTCGTATCCACTTCTACGATGCTGCGTAATCGTTTCAAATTACCTCCAAGATAGGATGGAAACGGATGGCACACCGTGTCGGATGCTTCGTTCCTCGGCATTTCAAGCAGGAAGTCACGCCACGGGTTTACGATAACGCGTTTAAAATTTGCATCTCCGCGGGGGGAATTCCACGGCACGAATCCGGAATGCAAGCGTCTCGCGGTGATCTGGGCCGATCGAAAAACGGGATCTCGATCCTCTCGAGCTCCCTCCCAACCGGAAACAAACCGGAAACGGCCAGCGAGATTCTGAGAAATCTACGGAGCCTTATGGAAAACGCAATCGATATAAACGTCGTGGCGTAGAACGGGACAATAATACGTCACGTGGCGTGCTGCGATCGATTTTTGAAGCGTTGGAATGTGACACGCGCGAAACTTTCGTCCGTGGAAAGGTTAAATTGGTTGGAGGAAAGAAACGAAGGGATAAGAAGGGGGTTAGAAGTCGATAAGTTGCGACGGTTTTGATAGATACCCTTAGAAAAGGGGGAAACATAAGGGAGGGCGTTTTTATAAGAGTGATTTATGGTTGGTCTTTTCTGCGAGATGGTAAGAAAAAAAAAGGAAAGGTTTTTTTCTTATGTACGAGATTACGGGGTTGGATAAATTAATTTACGATAAAAAATGTAGGTTAGCATGAGATTTCGTTGCCGCGAATGAAATATTTTTATTTCGTACGATATTCTTTATCTTTCTTTGAAGAAATACTTTTTTCAAATTCAGATTCACACGAATCCCCTGAAAAATTCGAAATATTCGCAATCACTGGAATTATTCCAATCTATGATCCATCCTCTTCATCTATTTCTCTCTTGAGAATCATTTTTCTCAAATTTAAACTCAATCCTATCAAAATTCCTAACGAATGATCATAAGGATTATTCAATATATTTATAACAGGATTACTCACGAGATAATTAAGTTATGTTTGTCTTTAAATATTTAACGCGCCACATCTTCTCGAAAAGTTACACGCTATTTTCATTTCGTGTCGTTGTAAGTTTTAAGAATTAGGATTAAGGTTCACATTCCGCTAAGGGGCTGATCCTTTCCAGAAACTGCAAGCAAACGCTTTTAGCACCGAAAAACTGTGAAACGTTATAAAAGCGGTTCCAGGAACGCTGTCTTTCTTCCTGAGTTTCTTGGATAAACTTAGCAACAGAGGTCTAGCCGTTGGTGATTCGGGTCAGCTTAATTAAACTCTGGGATGTTTTATCCGGGCTAACTGTCGCATTGTTGTAAGTTCGCGGATTTATCCGCGACGATTGTACAGAGAATCGGGAACAGAACAGCTCCTGGTGGTAATTTATCACGTCTGAGCGTGGTATTAATTGGGATCGTTATAACGCTATATGTCGCTACCATTTCATCCACGCTCGAAAATTTCCAACGCGATAATATACAGCTGGATCCAAAGTTATTTCCCCTCGTCCGATTCGCGAATCACTAATTCTCATTTTTTCCATCAACACCTTTTTCTTAAATGTACAATTAAATTATGTAACAGGTGTTATATTAAAGATGAAAAAAGAAACTGTTAAAATGTCCGAAATGGAAGAAACGAAGGAATATTTTCAGTTGATTAATATTGGACGATTTCTCCCTATGTTAAACTCGAGGCTCGTATAATATTATAACGTTACCTGTGAAAGAACGATTCGGGAAATCAGTGATAATTTTCTGGGAAACAGGGAAACGGTAGAAAACGTTTTATCGATCGAGCAAGGAGACGATATAAGAGGGATAAAAAGTTCAAGAGAGCCGCTCGGAAGTTCTCCTGGGAAAGAAAGTTGCGAGAGGTTGTCGGTGAATCGGCCACGAAACTTATAAAAGAAAGAAAATGTGGCTGGTATTCGAATGTTTAAAACATTTGAAAGCATTCTATCGCCTCTTTCTCTCTTATTTTTTCTTTTCCTTTTTCTTCTTTTTTTTCCTTTTCGAAAACATCGACGAGGGAATGGAAACAGTTATCGATAACGAGTCGAACGTTGATTGGCATAGGGTCCCAGGAATCGGGAATATCATAATTAAAAGAAAGAAAGAAAGAAAAAAAAACGATTCAATTTCCGGCAGGGATTGGAATACTCACGGAAACAGGAGCTGTGTGAGGCGTGGCTGCTTCCTGCGTGTGGTGAAGTCGACTGGGACTGGGGCTCGACCTTTGGGAATTCTGCCCACGCTGCCAGGATCCTCCTTTGTTATTGCTGAAATCAAATTAAGTTTTATATACGTAGCAGATATGACAGTTGACAGATGAACAAGCTTCGCACGAGAGAGCAAAAGTTGTGGCGACCAGGAACTGGCCCCGCACACGTACGGTACAGATTCCACGTTGTGATTCAACGTTCACCTTTGACACGATCGCGGCTTTCACATACACACGCGAAGGGGCAAAAATGGAAGCTGAGCGAGCGATTAGATCTCTCGATAAATTATCATAGGGCAAGTGTTGTCATGGTGGCAAAGGTAGTGGGTAATAAATTATTGCCGGTTGAAGGTCTCCGCGTGTGATTTACACGTTCGACCTGCCGATAATCGCCCTTGGAGATGCCGAATGTATTGCGCCCGACAATGATCTATGAGCGGATAATCTATGAGCGGAGGATCAAACCTTGGAGATCCTGTTGTCTGATGCCTGATCGTTGGACGAAATCAACGTATGAAACGTTTGTTGCTCGTTCCATCGGTGAAAATCCTATTTGATTTATAAACTCGTTATCGCCGATGCTTTCTACTCGATGATGCTCGTAGCTGTCGTTTTTTCTTCACTGCATACCCACTTTCGAGAGTCATAGGAAGCAGTGAACATGTCATATAGTGGATTTATACGTAGCGCCTCGAACTACTGTGTTATGAACGCGGATTTGATTTGCCATTTTATATATATATGTATAGATTCTGCTCAACATTGGTAAACATCGAGACGAAATTACACTTTGCACATTTCATCAGGTATACTTCAAATCTCAAGAATTAGGGAATTCGAGAAAACTAGAAATCTCCAAAAATCTAGGTATTAGAAATTCATTCATTATTGTAATAAAAAGTTAAATAATGCGAGATCGTTGCGTAGATCGAATAGAATTCCTCGTTTCATCCGTTAAATTAGAAACTCGCTCGTCACCGATATTGCAACAAACGTCTTCTCGAGGTTGAGAAGGAAGGCACGTCTGCCGTTTCTAACCCGACAGGTTTGATCCGAAACCACTCCCAGTCCACGAGAAGAGATCAGCCGAGAGTCGGCCGGGAACTACGTAGAAAGTAGAATAAATCGATGAACTTTTGTCGTGATCCTTCAACGGAGGACGACTCGGCTGTCGATCAACCGGCGGCGGAGCGTGTGCAAAAAATTCGTTTCGCCACGATGAAAATCACGTATCTCTCTCCCTCCCTCTCTCTATCTCTCTCTCTCGACGTTGACACCCGAGACGCGTGCACAAGCTGCTGCACTTTGCTCGAGCACCGTTGCTCTTTTCTCGAGTCGGTTGTCGACCGACTCTCGTCCATCGAACGGCCCGTATCGCTTATCACGATCGCCGATAATGACGTATTAGATCGGAGTGAAAGCATCGTGGGAATTGATCGGGTAGCGCTCGCGTGCCCTGGACAAGCAGGAAGCGTTCGACAGCCGTAAGTAAGTAAGGTCACGTCAAGGCAATAGGCGGGACGATTAACGCCATTAACGTCCGACTTTGTAAGCTTTCCCAGAAGAAACGAGCGGTGGACGGATTTCACACGGGAAGCTTGTTATCCATCCGATTTTTTTTCCTCTGGTAATTTGTACGTGGGATCGGTTCTGGAAGAGCCGTGCGATTTATTTAACGGCCACGTTTGAACTTCGACTGTGATTGTCCGGCTGGATAGCACGAAGTTCAATTTGCTTCGATCAAATCTAATGTTTGTGCTTTGTTTCTTTTTATATATAACATAAGAAGTAATTATATTTGATACATATCTTGCAGATTTGAATCTGTTTAATGATATACAGTTTTAATTAAAGTCTTCTCAGTTGTGAAGAACGTAGCAAAACATAACACAGCATCTTTACGAGTATCGATTGAACTTAAAATGCTAAATTTTGCTAAATATCGTTTCAACAAGAGTCTCAAGACCTGTGCTCATAAAATATTCTCCGAATGTTCGAAACTTGGCAATCCGTATTCGAATCAACTTGTGACACGCTTTTAAAAGAAAATCCGCTTGATACATATCTCGTCATTAATTCCATATAACGTGGTATAATCTTGGAGTAATATTTGCCAAGAAGAGGGGCCGAAGAGGGCAAGAATTTCTAGCTCTCGTTTCGGAAATTGAGACATCGAGACGTCTCTAATGAATCATACGTATATATACACGTACACTCGGTTGAATATTAGTCGCGCCAACTTGCCGCGAGTATTTCACGTATTTCACCGCGCCTTGACTAATCCAGTCGTTATCAAGAGTTTCATAATCATCAGCCACGAGACACGTATGCGCGAACGAGGCCGGAATATTGGCCGGTTTTCGTGTAGAAAGTGGAAGGAACTCGGTCAATATTTCCAAGGCTCGTGTATACGAAACGATTTCCACGCCATCCATCGCTGAGACAAATCACCGCGGGGTCCTTGGATAAATATCTGCAGGAGACTAACTACACGCGTTTGTACTTATAATTATCTCGATTGTTTGCCGCTTCGAAATCGCTAATTCTTCCGGCGACATGCTTCGGTTTCCCAGTCGAGGAAATGGGATTGGCTGGTACCCGTTGCAATTTTAATAGAACGTCGAAAATTACGTTCTATTTATGAAGGTGAAAAATATTTATCCGAGCGGTTTTTTTTCCCCCTGCAAAACGGAGTGAACTGCGATATAATTACAGTGTTTTGCAATAGTCCAATTAATGTAATAACAATCTTTGCTGACCCAAATTTTATTACCAAACTTGTTTTGAACGAGAAATTTTAATAATTTTAGAAACTCGTAGGGATTTCATCAATTAATATCGTTCAAGAGCGTCTAGGAGTCGCGGAATGGAGAAAAATAATTTTTGCTTTGAAAATTTGAAAGCGAGGATGAAGAATAGCATGGAAAATTATTCTATTCTAAATGGAATAATTTATTGAGCAGCAGAGAGACGAGGAAAAGATGATTTCTTCAGAGAGATTGAATCAAAGATATTCAATTTGGATCGGAGTAGATAAAGGTCATTCACAGTCGGACAAATTTCGGTGGCGTTTAATGGTAAGATTGTATCACGCTGTAGGAACGATTAAATAATTAAGAATGAATTTCACAATCGAAACGATTGTTTCATCGCGTGGTAAAATTCAAACAATGATCGATTCATCGTGCTCTTTGTGTATTTGATGATCAAATTCATTTGGAGATTGAATACGTTTGTCGGCTGTATCGAAAAAAGAAAAAAGCTGATTTTATCTCGAAAGCGAAACCTCTCAGGATATTTGCATTATGTAACGAGTTACATCCGAATTAGATAAGTCTGATTTATGTAAATGCGATTTCGTTTCAACATCTACTCTACTACTCAAATATTTTATTCTCTTTCTGCAAAATTCCATACATATTTACGTTTCACGATTCCTGTTCGAGCTTTGAGCTATTCACTACCTCACCTACAGAATGTAGGTTTTTAAAAACGAATGATTATAAATAATTTCAATTCAGAAATGCAAGCGTACAAAAGTCTTCTCTTGTAACTTTTTTTGCTGATCGATATTAAAACATTCAACAGTCTTAGCGATTTATTTCTATCCGTCTTCGAAAAATCGATCCATCCTTCTTATTCAATAAAGTTTAAAACCGTCTCGATCGATAATCTGAAAATAATTCAAACAAATCAGAAGTCAAAAAATAGAATTCCAAAGAACTTGAGAAAGATACGTACGAAAAGAAGATTAATCGACAATTTGGAACAATCTAATAAATACAGAGAAATCCAAACAAATGCACTCCGACAAATGAATCTAATTCGTTACCTCGCCATCAAAGAAAATCACTCTGAGCTATCAAAGAAAGAAAACAAAAAAAAGAAGAAAAAAAGAAAGAGATTGAATTATTGAAAACGTAATCAAGAAACGAATCAAGAGGTATATCCAATATTTATTGGATCGTTACTTGTTCGAGGAACAGAGTGTGAAATACTGGAAAGCCACGGCTAAAAGCGTGATCGGGTTAAGGACCAGTGTTAAAATCGAAATTTATACGGTGCCCTCGTATATTGCTGGTTTTCGACTGGTTCCTCGTCGTTTCTTTTTAGCTGGATCGACTTTCCGCCACGCTACGCAGATAAATCGATGCACCCAGGCCAAATAAACAATCGTATTTATCGCCCTAGCTTCACATGTGGGTGTGCTGTTACGGGCCGCGGAAACCGGTCGTAAAATCTTACCGGTTTCGCATTACGGCCTCTCTCATACAGCTGCGACCGATGAACCTGCCATGCGTACAGTAGTAGGTACGTGTGTGAAATTTTTATTTTCATCGCCCTCGAGAAGGCCCCGCATCCACTCGCGAGCCACCCCCTCTTGCCCCGTAAAAATCCTCGTCACCGTTATGTTACGGGTGCAACAGAAGGAATTCGAGATGATTTATGCTCGATTATGCTTTGTGAAATCGATAATTACGAAGTAGATGGCGGTCGGTGAGAAAATTTATAATAATATTCTTGGGCGAAGCCAGTGGACGAGAAAGGAATCAGAATGGCGCGGTTGCGTAAGGGATGAAAAAGTTATTGCATCGAGTTATTGCATTCTATCCGTTTGATCGTAATTGATGCAATCGAATGTAAGAATTCGAATTCTCGTTGTTTTTTGTAAATTGGTAATGTGTTTAAACGAATATGATTACAACGATGAGGGATATAAAATTAATTTTTCCAAAAGAATTCTGTAAAAATAAAGAATCATTTAATAATTGAAACGTTAAAAATCTTATTTTTTTCTTTTCATTCTTCGTATTCTTTTTAGTACTGAAATGTTTGTGTAAAAAAAGTTTTATTTTAAGAAAAGAAAAAGATAGCGATAAATATAGACGATGATTGGTCGAAGTTAAAAACAAGGATTTACAACCGACGAAGGAGAACAACAATATTGCACCGAGGCGAAATCAACACTTGTTAGAATCGCGTTCTTTTGAAAAATACATTCACCGCGGTTCTTGATTTTAAAGCGCAGCAGACATTTATCGCGCGAATCAGGTACAA